ATGCCGAAGGCAAAGCCAAGGCACTCGCATTCAGCAATTAACCTCCATGCGTTACCAGCAAGCAGGCAAAGAAAGGATTAGAAAGTGCCAAGGCAAAATTAACCCTGTGATTTCTGAGCTGCACCGTGGTAGATGATCTGGGGTCTCAGCTTATGCAGTTGGTCCATAATACTTAGTCGCCAGTGCAGTCAATCACATGAATCATCCTAGAAAAAAAGTCAGTGGGACTGCTCGCATGCTTAAAGCTAAATGTCCTTTCAGTGCTTTACGGTCTTAACCTTTTTAGACTCAAGGCAGCCATCATTAGACTCAAGAAAATTGAGTGTCTCAGAAAATGCCAGCTCTTCATTTTTAATTGTTTTTTTGACTACAGAAAAATAATAGAATTTTTTTTTCTGTTGCAAAGAACTCAGAAAGCTGATAGTTTCTAAAACATAGTTTCTAAAACTATGGATTTCTATTTGAAACCTCTGGGTTTATCTTGTGAATTGTGTGTGCACACCTAGCAGTGCTGACATTATGTGGCACCCCATGGCATCCTTGAAAGGCTCTCAAGGCACCCCATGGTGCTGCAGCACCCTGGTCGAGAATCACTGTCTGCGACTATCATGGCTTTTGGCCTCGAGGCTTTTCCCTTATATGTAGCTTTTAAGAAGTCAGAAATATCAACAAAAAATAGTCATGAAATCACTAGGGACTGATATAATTTGAGGACACCTTACAGATAGGATTGTGTGGCTGACACGTCCTGATAGTGCTTTAAAATAACCGATTAGTTTACAATACCATAATTTAAATCTCCACAATGACCAGAGCACCACCTCATCCTGTTTGTAGCAGGGTTCCCACAAAAATCTGGTGAACTTTTTACTAACTTCTTTTCATTATATCCAGGAGTATTTCATAGCTGTGTAATACAATACAAGATTTTGATCTCTTACCTCCTACAGAAATTCTTCTCTCCTACAGCGAACTCTTATCTCAGGATTTACAGCTAGTGGTTCCCATGTCTTTCACTTTTTTATTTCATAGGTGGGAGAGTTTATTTTCTCCTGTGTCTGCCTGAACCCACTCCCCTCCTTTGTTTAACCCCCAGAATCTAAATTCATTAGAATTTTATCTATTTTTTATAACAAATTTTATTTCCAACTGTAGAAGGAATTTAAAGATTTGGCCACTCCATGTCAGGGGGATTGGAAATGCTTGCATACCAATTTAACAAGGGAAAAACAAACCCTGTGTGATTTATCCTCCAATCACAACTGAAAGCAGCGCAATTTGAATTTTATATGCAATGCATGGAACAGTATCAGTCTGCTGAGCAAATAATGTTTGAAAAGAAAATGAGATGAATTTCTAAAATTTACACTACTCCATGAGCAGAAAAGTAAGTGGCATTCATCACACAAGTTATTTGCTGTGAATTACTTGTTTGCTTCTAATCCTGATGGTATTTGTCAACTTCTAGGAAGATTTCAGCAGCAAAGCATACAAAATAACATACCTCAGGAAATCTGTCATCTCAAGGAGTTTTATTAGTTAAACATAGCCTATTCGTGCAGTTTCTCAACATTTCCCTCACATCCTTTAATAAGAATGACAAATTATATTGCCACTTCGGCTGTTTTGAGAGACATTGTGAAATCTGCTTTGCAGACATGTTGCATTTTAATGGATATAGCATTAAAACTAAAAGCAGATTGCATTTCCCCCTTGCCGTAAAGCTCTATGTTTGTCTGGAAAGCCGCTCTACCCAAAAGTGATCACAACTTGTTCACTAATTCATTCTTTAAGACCATCATTCACCTGTCCCTTACCACTCCAAATGGTTGTCCGAAGTGTTGTTATTTTGTTTTTATGCATTGCAGTCAGGCAGTCATCATAGCAGTAGTTAACATTTATATAGAGGTTTTCATCCAGAGATCTCATAGTGCTTTGTATCTTAAATATCATTTTCCCATATTGCCAATGGAGAAGGAGAGACAGAGAGAGACACATGCACAAAGTGACTTGCTGAAGATGAAACAGAAAGTCACTTGCAAAACCAGAAACAGAACCCAGGTATCCTGATTCCCAATCCAGTGCCCTGTCCGCTGGGAACATGCTGCATTGGAGGACTGGGCATTGCTGGGAAGAAAGGGAAAATAGAAATGAATGAAGTGCTCAGTTCCAGCTCAATCCATTTTTAACTTTGTTCAGCATGGTTGTATTCATTCACAAGTTCTTTTAAATGTCCCCACATCCCTCCGTTATTTAGGTATCAGGGGGTGCCTCTACACAAGACACTACATCCTTAGTGATGAGCTACGGTGACATAGCGTCAGCGGGCATGAACCCTGACACCCCTGCTACTTTGCAGTAGCTTGTTGCTACTGTGCAGTAGGGTCAGAAACAACCCATGCAGCACCGGGACTGCACAATACTGGCTGTGCTGAGCAGTCATTTAGTACTCGCAAAGCTTGTTGCTAAAGCAAGTACTAAACGACCGTGCAGTAACAGCCGGTACCGCGAGTCCTAAATGACAGCAAGTACTAAATGACTGTAACAGTAACAACTGCGCAGTTGGGCGCATGTGTAGATGCACCCAGGTTATGATAAATGAGAACATAAGGTCTGTCATTTTTTAAGTCAGACCATAGGTCCAACTTGCCCAGTATCCTGTGCCACGCAGCAGCAGAGACAGATGCTGGAAGGGAGAGTGATCAGGGCATGACCAGGGCTTTTCCTGTGGCTCTCCCACTTGCAGCCTCCAGCATATAAGATTTAGGAAGTTCTGTTTCGGCAGCTATTGATACACACCAGGTGTGGCCCGTTATTGGACCTACAGTACCACAGGGCTGGTGAGGCTGGTGATCCAAAATCAGGTGTTTCGGCAGTGGGTGAAGGATGAGAGCAGACAGGTGGCAGGGCCTGGGGCAAATGTAAGAGAAGCCACCAGCAAGCATCATCCCTTTGCTTCAGGCTCAGGGAAAGGAATAACAATGTCCTGACTGGTATAGTTCCCTTTGACCGTGCTCTTCAAGGATTTGCTGTCTCCGGCTCAATGGATTTGGGGGCTGATCTACTTTCTTGCACTTACTGATGGTCCCCTTGAACAAAGCAGAGATGTGTTGGGTGTGGGCCGTGTGAAAGGACTTCCTTGGCAGCTGCTTGTTCTGCACCACATTGCTCTTCTTCTCTTATTCATAGATTCATAGATGTTAGGGTCGGAAGGGACCTCAATAGATCATCGAGTCCTACCCCCTGCATAGGCAGGAAAGAGTACTGCTGGGTTTAGATGACCCCAGCTAGATGCCTATCTAACTTTCTCTTGAAGACCCCCAGGGTAGGGGAGAGCACCACCTCCCTTGGGA